AGGAAAAAATTGTCGTAAGACTGAAAGATCTAATCCATTTTCCACCCACAGCAGGCTTTTTAATTTACCTCTTCTGCTGATGAAGATGATAAATTCATTATGATACCCTGCAATGGATATCACTGTGGCTAGCCAGCCACCCTTTAATTTGAAGCAGGTAAACTGGAATCTTCAAGGAGTTTTGTATGACAAATCACACTCCTTTGGACCATGAACATTTTTAATAAAGTATAGGGCTTATGGAAACTGTAGATTAGAACAGAAATGCCCAAAAACCAGTTGCAGATTAGAGTGAATATGCCACTATATTTCTTTATTTTTATTTTTTACAATCAATAACTGTGAAAATAAATGTTTTTATATGAAAACTAAATGTCCTAAAAGCGAAATAGTAAGTTTTGTTTCTTTGTGTCATTTGCATTTAGTCCTATTTGTCTTTTGTCATGCGATTCTGATAAGAATTTTTTGATTGCTTTTAATTCAGATCACAAGGTTTTTTCTAAACAAAATCTAACACTGTTATGCAGTATATTCAAGACACTGAAAATATTAATTCTAGTTCAGTTATTTTGTGCCATTGGTGCAGTAGTATTTTATGAAACAAAAACATAAGTCTCCAACTTCTCAGCCTTTTGGCTAAGATCAAGTGTAGTAACTTCTGAGATGAGAAACCTTTACTTGCATTACAACAGTTCATATCTTAGGGTACTTAGCAGCTTAAGTCTTATTGAGCAGATACTCTTGCACTAGTGACATTATGCAAGCAATAGCTCTAATTGTGCCATGGTGGATGTGCTGTTCAAAAAGCACTTCTGCACGTGCATTGTGCAGTTGGTTGGGCAATCAAATGGCATAATAGTTTAGATATATAATGTGGTAAATGTATGATGATATAACTTTATGTTATGCAAAGGCAGACAGGATTCTGGACTGTCTGTAGAGTGACAGGTTCTGTGGGATTAAAATAGAAAATGCCTCTGGTTGTAGAATGAACTGTACCCATGATACAAATTGATCCCATTTGGGGTAAGTTCAGTGTTTGCTGCTAGGAACATTTGGCTATAAAACATCCTTCTTCTTAAGAAGGCAGAATTTCTGCAACGACTAAAACCACTTGCAAGGCTCTGGCTCCAGCTACAGAGTAGCACAATGGGCACATTGAGCATTGCTTGCTGGGGAAGCCCTCCTTCCTCACTGGCCTTGTAAATGCAGTTCTTTCTCTGTGAAAAGCCCTGACATCAGCTCTTGGAAAAATCCAAGGACTTGTGTCATGGAACAGGGCTGAGGAACTGGCTTGGGCAAAGGCTGAATGGCCGACTGTGGCTGAAACTTCATAACAAGGCTTTTACACTTCCACTCCCACCCTGTCTCCAGCCTTTCTCTAACCCTACGGCTGAAACAGATGTTATTCTGTGATGCACTCTGTTATAATCTGTATGCTGAAAAGCTGGCTTCGAACAGAAGCTGTACTGTACTTTGTCACTAGCAATGTATATATAATAAACACAAATAAAAGAAAGCATCTGTGCTGTTTTTGAGCACTGAGGTGCTTTAGTATCTCTTCAGTGAAGTCTGGAGTTTCAGTGAATTACAGAAGAAGTTGATGTGGAGTCTGAACAAAAACAGCCAAATCTTTGCCTGAAGAGACAAATACAGTTAATATATGTCATTCATTTACAGGTCAAAAGCTGAGGGCGTTATTCTTAGAATCAAACTTAGAGCCAAACTAGACCATTATTGCTGGGTTGTGTTTTTGTTTTGTTTCGTATTTTTTGTTGGAGTTTTATCTGGAATTGGAGCCACTTCTATACCCTTTCTCTTCACTTTCCTGTACCATCCGGTTTTGTCATCTCATCTTGGATCAACTGTAGACTGACAGTTGTCTCGTGCAGTGATTTCCAAATTTGGTGGCAGTGCTAATCTTATAGTCCACCTCATTCCTCTCCAGTCTGTATTGGCCTAGGTGCAAATTTGTTACAGTATTTAGTGACTAATACTTGGTATTGGTTTCTAGGATTTCTGTGTAGGAGGTTTTTACAAGTTGGAATTAATTTTGTTTGTTTTTCCTATTGGGCTTGACAGCCCTGCCGTTGTGGTTCATGGATGTGATAAGAGCAGACAATCATAATTCTTAACTTTCACTATATTGTGTGAAATGTGTGTGTGTGTGTGTGTGTGTGTGTGTGTGTGTGTGTGTGTGTGTGTGTGTGTGAGAGAGAGAGAGAGAGAGAGAGAGAGAGAGAGAGAGAGAGAGAGAACTAGCTGGTTATCTGGCTGTTGCTATAGTATCTAGCTGCTTATTTTCAAAACTTAGCAGCACTGGCCAAAGGTCTCTCAGCCACCCTGTCTCATATTACCTCTATATTGGTAGTAGTTCTTAATATCAGTAGTACGCATATGTGTCCACCACTAATTTGATTATTCTCTGAAAGTGGAATTAAAAGTCACATCTTGCTTCATAACGTAAGAAGAGCCCTGCTGGAGCAGGCCAAGGGCCCATCTAGTCCAGCTCCCTGTATCTCACAATGGCTCCACCAGATGCCTCTGGGAGCACAGGAGACAACTGGATACCTGTCTCCAGACACCATTGCCCTGCATCTGGCATTTTGGCTTTCCTTCCTTTTAAGCCTGGAGATTATACATCCCCGTCATGGCTTGTAACCTGCAATGGACTTCTCCTCCAGGAATCCCTCCAGTCCCCTTTTAAAGGTACCTAGGCCAGATGCCATCACCACATCCTGTGGCAAGGAGTTCCACAGACTAACAAAATGCTGGATAAAGAAATGTTGTCTTCTCCAACACTCAATTGGAGTGGAGATCCCCTGGTTCTGGTATTGTGTGAGAGGGGAAATAGCTTCCCTCTATCCACTTTATCCATCCCCTGCATAATTTTGTACATCTCAGTCATGTTCCCCCTCAGGTGCCTTTTCTGAGGACTAAAGAATCCCAAACACTGTAGCCTTTCCTCATAAGGGAGGTGCCCCAGCCCACTCGCCATTTGAGTCACTTTATTCTGCACCTTTTCCAGTTCCACTATGTCTTTTTTGAGTTGCAGTGACCAGAACTGTACACAATACTCCAGGTGTGGCCTTACCATCGTTTTGTGCAATGGCATTATAATGCTGGCTGTTTTGTTTTCAAGCCCCTTTTTAACGATACCTAGCATGGAATTGGTCTTCTTCACTGCTGCCGCACACTGGGGTGACACATTCACCAAGCTGTCCACTAGCACACCAAGATCTCTTTCCTGATCCGTCACGGACAGCTCAGAACCATGCGGGTTTTGGCTTCCTTAAATTGTGGAGGTTGAATGTTGATATCCTGAAAGGAGAAGCAAGATCTATTTGCAGAACTGTTGTAAATCTAATTAAAATAATGCCATGCAATATTATTATTATTTTGGTCTGTTGCCCTAGTCTGATTTTATCACAACAGTATACCCACAACACAAACACGCTGATCACCATAATCACCCAATCTCCTGAAAAGAACAAAAGCTATTCCCACAGTCATAAATCCTGAACTATCCAACAAACTGCAACAGAGCACAGAGTTCTGACTCCTGTTCTTTGAAGATGCCAGCCACAAAGACTGGCAAAACGTTAGGAAGAAAAACCTTAAGAACACGGCCAAACAGCCTGGAAAATCCACAACAACCATTGGATTCCAGCTGTGAAAGCCTTCGAGAATACAGTGGCTTATGTTGATAAAAACAAATCCATGATCTAATGAGATCAAATGGATAAAACTGTGGCTGTTCTATTAGGGTGTAGTATACAAGGCATACTGTATAGCTTATTATTTTAGTTGATGAAGAGTAATAATTCATTTTCAAGAAAAGCCACTAAAGGTAACTGACAAAATAATAGTTTTTTCCTCAAATGTATATGTCTAAATTTCTCTGTATATGTTTTGGCCCATGTTTTATATAGTTTATCATATTTTTTCAGGATGCTGTTATCATCTTATTCAAGTGGTATTTTGATATTAAAGAAAGTTTTCAGCAAACATAAATGCTGTTAAAATGGTATGCTTTCTATGCTAATTAGTATACATATATTAAAGACTTAATTAGCTTAATTATAGTTTTTGCCTTGAAGAATATTTCGAATACCCTTGGAAATAATTGCTTTAGGGGAGATGATAAGGATTGTAACAAAAGCAAGACATGCAGTCAGTTTTACTTTTTTATCTTTTGACTAAGTATTAAAAGAATTTTTACACTAGATGAAAGAAGCAGATTATTACATTCTTCCCTTCAGTAAACAAAATGAATACGTTGTAACACTATATACAATCTTAACTGTATGTAGGACTATGAGTAGTTCTTCTGTGATGGTTACTTACTGCTTGCCCTGCTTCTGTTACTCTTCTTTCCCTTTGTGGTGAATGTTTATATGTTGTGGAGAGAGAGAGAGAGAGACTGGAGAAGCTGGCTTGCAGCCCTGCAGCTTCCGGAAATCTATCCCAGAATCCCTTTGGAACATTTCTCCCCTTGACGCATGCGGCATTGTTTGCAGACTGGCATTTTCATGTAAGAAAGACGAAAGGTGTGGGGGATGGATCAGCTTGGAGTTGATTCTCCGAGAACTACATTACTGAGCGTTTACCTCTGCAGGCTTCAGAAGAAATCTGTGTTCATTTCTGGGAGATGTTCTAATGCAGCATTCAGGAGAATGGTATAAATGCTGATGCTTGCTAAACAGATCTTTTCAGTTTTAAAATGAAATTGCTTGATTGGAACACTCTATAAAATATAAGCAGTTATATGAAGGTAGATATACAGAATAAAATGAGACGCCAAGCCCTGAAATGATTGTATGGGCAAAAAATACAAAAGTGCCTTTATGATTGGTGTTTTAAATAGCTGAAAGCAAAATGTGTGGATCTTTTTTTAAAAAAATGCATTCACCAATAGTACCTGTGCCACCTGACATGTTCCCTTCTATTCAACAATAAACAATTTATGCTACAATAAACTTTGTAATTTTGCTTTTCAGGTTTCCCCTCAAAAAACCTACAAGGTAAGTTCTTAACTGCTATGACTACTACCTTCGTTTACAGATAATTCTATGTGTGCACGCATGTGCGTGCACACACATATATACACACACTGCACTGACTAGGATGCATTGTGGGTTGGAGAATGCATATCTTTGTTATCTTTGGTAGAAATAATAAGAGATCAGCATATGCTAGTGTGAAGCTAGGACAGAGAAAGCATTGTCCAATAGAAAATTTGGAGGCAAAATAAGGATATTTGGAGGCAAATTATGAGTAGGAACTTTACCCCTTCAAAATAATGCCACTCCCAGATTCATCTTCAAGTTTGTGTCTTCTCTGAGTATTTGTACTTATAATCATCACAGCCATTTTGTTACAGCGGTGGAATACAGTTGCTCTGTTATATAGTCAACATTTTCCCAGTCTTCCCATCAATAGAGGGGAGAGTGTAGAGATAACTTTTTTCTGTCATCTAGTCATGAAGAACAATATGGCTTAGATTAGCTTGGCTATAAATAGTGAAAGAATACAAAAACATGAAAATAATGAGAGAAGAGAATGGTCTCAGGAAGTGGGACAAATGAACTTCATTCCCTTTTCCAAAGCTTTAACATGACAGATGTTGCAGTCTGCTAACAAGATAAATGCAATAAGATAGTTTCATTTCTTATTTATATTTCTCTTTTTAAAAATGTGTGCAATATTCACAGCAGGTTTAGCAAGGTGTTAGGCATGTGCTGTTAGAATAAAAATGAAGTTTACTGAGTTTATGAGCAAAGTCTTGTATAGGTTTCTTGGTTCCAAAATGTTTTGGCGATGTGTCATTACATTGTTTTTAGAATCTGAGTCAATAATTCTTGTGATTCATTCAGTCTGTGCTTCTTTCTGTTTGACTTCAGGCATGGCAGCATTCTGAGTAGAGAGTCTCCAGCAGATAAGAAGCAGAAGGTTGAACGCTGCATCAGTGCCCACGACTTTGACCCTACAGGTAGAATCTTCATAGCCTCTCATACGACAGTTCTGCTTTTCAAAAACAAACTTAAAAATTCACATTTCACTGGCATAATATCCAGAAACTATTGCTAACTTTGTTAGTCACACTGATTACATAATATTTTAAGTATTTTTTTTCATATGTGAAGTTGCTATGCTATACTAGAGATGTATGATTCTCTTGTGTACATCTGAACTCAAGTACAGAGTGCATCTTGTTTTAATCTTACATAGAAGGCAGAAGTCATCAGCTGGAGAGAGAGTACACTTTCTGATGACTGGGCTGTATTGAAGCCTTAGGGCCAAACTACACAAGTTGTGTGTTTTTTTTAAAGTTTCAACAATATTATTTTTATTTAATTAGGATTCACTGTGGATGCCTTTTTTTCAAGCAAGGGCACCAAATGATTGTTCTCTCCTCAGCGCTGTTACTCTGCTCAAGATTTGAATGTCCTTGTGTCTGATTATTGGAAACACTGGAAAGTCCAGTCACAGATCATTTGTAGTTTGACCCTAAGGCTTTAGAAGACAGCTGTGGAAAAGGCTGTGAAGTTCTCTATTACTGTTGTGCTTGGCTTGCTGATTCAGCAGACCCATCAACTGTACACTGTGTAGGGATTATTTTGCTCTGTCTACATATTTTCTGTACGGTAAAGAGCAGATTTTATTACTAGCGAGCGGTCAACACAGACTGCATAGTGCAGATGAACAGATGCTGAGGAGTTTCAAATAGAGAACCCTGCATACACTTGCATCTTTCTTTCTCTTTTATCTGATCGTTCTTGCTGCTCCTAGGTACCTACCTGTTTTCCTTTTATTTTTCCTTTAGCACAACCTCCAGTATTTGGGAAGCTCTTTTAAGGGTGTGCTCCTAGTTCCATTTCTTTCTTAGTTTCTGATGCTGACTGCTCACAGTATACATAAACTGTTTTCACCTAAAGGCATTCTTGCCTCTGGAGAAAATAATAAAGTGGTACATAAATATCTATAATTCAGAAGAAAGTAATTTTTAATCTTCTGAGTGAAGTACCTCTGATGTGTGTTTATATAAACTTTGATTGGTCATGGATTATCACTTTCTTTCTTTTTCCCTGTGCCTGTAGAACCCTGCATTCTGTGTTGCATTCAGAGTCTAATGCTGTCTTGGAAATTAGTCTGCATGTGAAGGTTCCACCCACCCCAACCTACTAACCCAGTGACTGCTGTGTGCTCCTAACTGTGTGACTGGCTTGCGGGTGAGCCTCTTGGCCCCATGTGGTGTGTTGCTTTTTGTCTGGGCACTTTACTGTTGAGTTTTGTATTTTGTGCAGCAGTGAGAGCTGACTGCAGAATGTGATGTACAGGGATACAATATATCACCACAGAGAGAAATCTAATTGCTGTATTTAGACCAGGTGTTTATACATCTCTTTATTAATACTGCCAGGTGAGAATAGTGGCATAGATTATTCGAATTAGAAGGCTTGCCCATGGCCTATGCAAGCACTCTTTTGTTTACTAACTATAAAATGGAAAGTGCACTTGCTGTATGACTGAATTAGAAGGGTGAGTGAGAAGTGGCAATTTTAACAGTAGGATGGGAGAGCAGAGGTAGAGACGTTAAGATGGGAATAAATACGTTTTAAATAGAGGTGTGCAAATTTGTGTTTTTAGATTACAAGTGTCAGAATTCCCCAGGCAGTTGTACTCCAAAAACACCAATTTGCAATCCTTGAGTTTTAAAGGAATGTTAAAAACAGATTACTCTTATGTGGGAGCCATTATAGTAATAAAAAATATTTGTAGTCTTATTTTTGAAAGCACAACATATAAATCCTGTACATCCTGATAATGGATGTTCAGGTCCTTTGATCTTTGTATATTGAGTAGTGATAGTACTGTGTTCTGAACAGCCATGAGGTGACATGTGATCTCAAGCATCTCTAGGACTCATGGCCAGTGCAGTTTGGGTAGTGATAATCCTTGACATCTAGCTTCAAGACTTGCTGCTGTTCTGTAGCTGGAGGAGGTCACGTAATATAACACTGTCATTGGTGTTTAGAAACTATGGTGTGCATGTTGCTTATGTGGAGAACTTTTTCCTCAGTTTACTTTCTCATATAGAAAAGAGGGAGCGTGACTATGGTATCATTTTCTTTCTTACTAGACACTTGCTGTGAGGTGTTACCTCTATAGCTCAAAGCTCTGATATTCACATTCTGATTTCAAACGTTACCACCTCTTGCCCATATCTTGTTTGTGTTTTGCATGAATTAACCCGATTATTCAAATCATTCTGTGTTTTTTTTTAATGAATTTTTTCCATGTTGGTCTCCATATTTCCTATATCTTTTTCTCCTTCTCTCCTGCTTTCGTGCAGATAGCTCCTCCAGGAAGACAAAGTGTAGCTCGGAGGAGGCTAGATCCGAGACGTATGGTAAGCTCACGCAGCCACTGCAGCCTTGTGCCTTTGTTCAGTGTGCTTTGTGCAGTTGTTCTGTGTGCCCAAGGCCTCTGCCTTTTACCTGCCATGCATGGCTTCTTTTGCAGCAGGGGAAAAGATTGAGCTTCTAATGTGGCTTATATGTGCAAGCTTGCTGATCAGTACTAACCTATGTATTGCAAACATTGGTGTCTTCTGTGTTGTCTTCCATTTCCTAATGAAATCTTTCCTTCAGCTGAACATTTGAGGAGTTGGCACAAACTAACTAGGACTGTGGCTTTATAAGTTTTAAATATGTGTGTGAATGGACCATATACTTGTAGTATATAGGACAGAAACAGATTTATTTATTTATTTATTTTTGAAAATAGTGGATCACTTGATTTTCCTATTCCTTGTCCATCACTTTGTGGGTTTTCTGCAGGGGTCTTTCTTTAAAATTGCATAAAACTAATACACATTTTCCGTGCTTCGGTCTGCTAAGTTGACTTCCCCTGAATTTTTGTCTGCATTTCCTTGACCTGTGAATAATTGGGTTTACCTGGATAGTCCAAAACAATGATTGTTGCATATCAAAGTATCTCATAGTTTCCCTGGATTTCTTTTCTTTTTAAGCCATAAATATCTCTTTTCAAGGAAGACAGAACATCCTATAGGACAGATACCTGTCTTGGTTTGGCTCTCCATATTCTTTCAGCCTGTTAAAGTGCATTTACATAGGTTTCCCTGATTCTCTTGCTACACAGTCTTTTTGTCAAACTTTCTTCATAAATAGGTATGTGGCAGATTTATTCCTGTACTTCCTAGCTTCCAATGCACTTTGCAAAGAAGTCTTATGCAGTGCTTGGAAAACTGTTAGAAAATTGAGATGAAAGAGGAGGAGGGTTTTGTCTCTTTGCTCAGAATTGTGCACTGGCTTACTGAATTAATTTTCCCTGATTCACACTTGTCTTTCCTGTTTTTGTCATTCTGAAGTGCTTTGCGGGGCAGAATGTGTATTTTGGTGGAACTGAGTTTGATGTCAATTGGTACCAAGACTTGTTAGGATTTGCTTGTTACCCATTCAGAACAAGGCTTATGCAAAACATTCAGTGCAGATCCAAGCTAGGTACAGTGTTTATGGAACGATTCCCAAGGAAAGTGAAATATCAGTTGCAACAGTGACTGCACATTTCCCCTAAAAAAGGGTTGCTTACTTTGAAGGAGTGAAATTTCTCTTTTTCAAACCAAGAAATTTCTCTTTTTCAAACTGGCTTTATTGACTATCGTCCCATTTGCATAATGGACCTTCCTTTGAAATTATTCACATATTCTTCTGTTATATACAGAAGGAAAATCACATCGTGTTTTAAGAAAGAGCTTGTTGAACATTGCTGTATATATCTGTCATAATATCAGTGGTAGAAATTCTTTCCTAGTCTGCTGCAGGGGATACCCACTGCCACAAAATGTTCTATAAAATGATAAATCTGTCTTGACTACTGGAAATGTGCTGTTTGTCTGCTAGAATTTATCTATAGTTCATTTCCTCTTCCTCTCCTGTGCCCTGACTTTTCATGTATGTGTAATGGAACATGACATCCCTTTTTGCTTCCTCTCAGACTTCCTGCAGGAGTTCTGTCTGCTGTTAGGATTTAGTTGTGCAGGTTCCCGTCTTCCTTCCTTTCCAGTAGTCTTTTTGTGTGCTGGCTCTCTTGCTGTCGCCCTCCCCTCCTTTTCTTACTAGTGCTGAAAAAGTGTGGAAAAGTGGAAAAGTTTAGAAGTATTTGTTTTGGGTGGGCCAAGCTGGTTTAAGAGCCTGCAAGTAAAGAATTCTGTACTTTATGCTGCTGATGGCTGCAGTCATTTGGCATGCCTTTGGAGACTAGGCAGAAAGTATCTTGAAGTGGCAAAAGTGATTTGAGGTGGAGTTGTTATGTTTTTTAGATGAGAGTTGTTGAAATTCCTTTTTTCAATGAGAAGTATTTCACCAGTCTTGGTTGTTCATGAAGGGAAATGTGAAGGTAGGCAGGGGATGCTGGTTTAGCTCCGAAATGACAATATTATATTTGCATTCTTTTCTTGCTTCCATGGTTTTATATATTGTCTTTTAATGATGTTAACCACAGTTGCCTATCCATTGATTTCAACTTTAAATACTGTCTTTCATGGTTGTAAGTGGCCTTGGGTCCTTTTCAAGGAGAAAGGTGGGGTAAAAACAAACAAAAAACAAACAAACAAACAAACAAACAAATAAATAAATAATAAATTCTCTCTCATATCTAAGGACTTTGCAGTGCTTATTTACATCCAGTAAAAATATGCTTGGTCAGGGGGAAGGAGCCACCGCCGAGAAGGCCCGATTTCGTGTCTTTTCCTTCCGGGCCTCCCTCAGCGTTAGGCTCCTTAGCCTCACCTCCTGACTTGTGTGGGTGATCCGGGTAGATCTTGGTGGGAGCAGGCGTTCCGCCAGATATCGAGGTCCTAAACCGTTTAGGGCCTTATAGGTAATAGTATAGTATAATTCATTGTGTTTATTTTGAGTCTTATGGATACCATTCTCATGGACTCTTTGTCAGAAGCTTGTAATTTTTAGACATTTAAATAATTCTGGTAAGAAATGTAGAAATCAGATTATTCAGTTTAAAAAACGTCTATCTGTATCAGGAAGACTAACCTGCTTTATGTTAGGAGCAGGTTATTTTGGAGTTGATAGCGACTTGCTTGTATTTACTTCAAACCTACGACCCCACTCCCTAACATTTTTGCCTAACTGTAGACTCTCATCTTAGATCTCAGGGTGATACTTACTTTTTTTCCATTTAAATATCTGTCTTCTGATGAGTTCTTAAACGCTGCCTGTGAATTTTGTACCAGGTACTATAAAAGAACTGCTGCACTGTGGAAGATAAAATACCCAGTATATGTGTTCAATACTGCATATAGAACATGTATGCCAAGGTAATGAAGATGTCGTAACATCTGCAACAGAGTGTTATGGCTTGGGAATCCAAAATGGATTTTCTATTACCTTTAACTAAGGCCTTGGTATAAACAAAAGAATGGGATCTCCAAACTTGCAATGTCTGTTGGTCAGGTTTAAAAGGAAGTATAATTCTTTTAAACATGGTTTTTATTCCTTTCCCCACATCTTCCCTTTCATCATAATGTGTTGAGACCAGTCATAGAGATGTTTACTTCCATTAAAGGAACCAGAGATGGGAAAAGGAGAGCAAAAGTGGTGTTTCTCTGCCATAAATGGTGGATGTTTATTTTATTTTATTTAAAAGATTTTTTACTGTACCTTTATTCTTACTTTAAAAAGACCTAAGGCAGCTTACATCATTCAGAGACAATATTTAAAGATAACAAAACTATACAAATATTTAAAAGAGCCAATCAGATATGATACTAAAGAAGTATAAACAAAAGCATCACCAAAAACACGTTCAAAACAGTAAGGCCTAACAATCTATTTAAAAACTCTGTTCGGACAGTCAGTCATAACAATCCATCAAAACATGCCACTCGGGCAGCCAATCACTAAGGGAAAGCTTGCCTGAAGAGAAAGGTCTTTGCCTGCTTGCAGAAGGACAGCAATGAAGAGGCCAGCCTGGCCTTCTGTGGGAGGGACTTCCAAAGTCTTGGAGCATCAGCAGATAAGCCCCTCTCCTGTGCCCCACGGAAAGACCTCTCCTGATGATCTTATTATCCAACTGAAGAATGTGACCTGTCTCCATGCAGTCAGTCTTATTTTGTAAAATGTGTATGTGGTTTTTAAAAAAGTTTCTCTCTGCTTTGACATAATTAAAATTGAATCAAAACCCACAACAGCTGCTTCATTAACGAGAACAGTGAAAGATTCATAGCCATTTGATTCCTGAGACAATAACATGTTCCTAATAAATATGTGAAACAACTCATGTACCTGTTTGATCAGATTGCTGCATGACACTGATTTTTTAAAGGAATTGCTTTAGTGCTACAGAGACTGTGTGAGCTATTACTAACGCGATAATGAGTTTAGAATGTGTCAGTCATGGCAAAGAGTTTCTGCTACACTGGATCGAGTATTATTTTTGCTTATAAACAAAACTAAAAGGGAAATATCTGAAGTTTGTTCACGTATTTTAGGTGCTGTTTTATAAATAGCCACTTAAATTGATAGAAATACCGTGTGTGATGTTTAAATGAATGTCTTAGTTCTACTTTACTGTTGCATAATTTGTACTTCAAGCCACTTGGCTGATTACATTAAACAATTTGATCTTTTATTCCTCTTCTTCATACAAGGAAGTGAACAGTTGCACCAGCTTCTTAGATAATCAACAGTATTTAAAAGAAAAACAAGAAATGTCCAAGGGATAATACGTTTTATGGCAACATTATTTTAAAGGGATTGCAAGATGAAAATAAAGTCCTGATGTGGCTGTCACCAGTGAGTTAGTGTGATTTAGAAAGATAAAAGATCTTGTGTTCCTATGGAAGAGAGATGGACTCTTGAGCTCTCCTCTGCCAGCTTGTTTGGTAGAAGCTGGTTTTGAAAACTAACCTGCTGAGAGTTTAGTAACTTTTATTTCCTATGTTGACGTGGAGAAGTGGGAGATCTCTGCTTTGCAGCCAGGAAGAAAACACGGGGTTGCTAAAAGTGTGCATACACTCTTTTTGAAACAAACCTGAGAATGGTGAAATTTTGCAGAATTTGGGCAAGGAAGAGAAGTTCTATAGCAAATGCACATGTTGTGTAGAGAAAAAAAATACTGGGAGGAAAACATTTGTGCAGAATGGATTAAAAAGTTTGTTTTTTTAAAGGTTTGCACTGGTTCAAAATGTGACAAATATACCTAAGGAATCTCCCTGTGTTAGCTTCCTGTGTCATGTCCTTGGTGTTACAAGAGTATTCCTTGCTTTTGACCTGATGCTCTTTGTTAATTCCCCTCTCTCTTGAGCCTTACCGTTTGTTTCCCTTTATGCACAGGTTCTATTCTGTAGATTGTCAAGTTTCTGATCTCCTGCCTACATTTATATTGCTTTGTCTCTCTTTCTTGTCACTGTACAGGTCTTGTTCAGCGTTGTGTGATCATCCAGCGGGATGAAAATGGATTTGGGTTGACCGTCAGTGGAGACAATCCAGTCTTTGTGCAGTCTGTCAAAGAAGGTAAGTAAACTTGTTCTATTGTCTCTTCATGTGACGACTTCAACAGGCATATTTTGCATACTGCATGTATAGTTATAATAGATGAGACATAAGTATGTTTTATACATGTTTTTGCTATAAAAACGTCATGGAGCACACTTAGCAGCATGTTTTGCATATATAAGTGGCAAAATGAACACAAACACTTTATGGCATAAATAGGTTGGTAGACATGTCACACACTAATTTGTATTCACTAAAGTTCTGGCATGCAAAGTCTTTGACATGCACGCATGCACGCACACATGCATGTACACGCACGTGCACACGCACACACGCGCGCGCGCGCACACACACACACACACACACACACACACACACACTGTTATATTTATTTCTGCTTGAGGTATAATTCCTGGGTATAAAATATCACTGTTTTGGATAGGAAGTACATATAATAGGGCAAGCTTTTTTTTAAAAAAATGCTTTATACATTTGATGTAGAATTTTGTATAAAAATTTATTTGCGAAGTAGCCTCAGGTAGCTTATCAAAGAAAGAAAAATCCAGCTGAAGCATAAAACCTGGCTAGATCACATAGCTTATTTCTTTCAGTTCATTCAAGGGAATGAGCGGGGGGGGGGGGGGAACGCACTAGTCATCTATGCTTTGGAAGAAGTTAAAAGATATTTCCGTAACACGTTATCATCCATTTGCAGTATCAGCTTAGCCAGAGTTTTAGAATCTTGAAATAGTGGATTGCAGAGGACTCATTTTTGTACGCCAGAAGGAAAGCAGAAAAATCACAGTTTAGATATATGGTGCCTTTATTTGGCAACAGTTGAATTGGGACCTTTTTCTCCTCTCCTCTCACACTAGGGTCTTCTGGAGGCTGTAAACTGGCTCTAATGAGTTCCTAAGCCCACCAGAGCAGGCTTTTGAGGTGAAGGGAGAGCTGCAATATAGAAGGGAGATTTCTCATGGAAATTCAGCCTATGTACACCATTGGAGCCTGGCCTTAGTGCCTGTCTTCACTTACCATGCTTCCATTAAAAAAACAAAAAACAAAACTAAGCAGAGTGTAATTTAGGAGAAACCAGCAGGGTGCTCTTTGTGGTCCATGCTGGTTCTGAAGTTGCCTATTTGTGGTGTAACTAGGCAGAGACAATTGGGGAAATTGTGGCCTTTGAAGGAACTAGTGCATTTAGAGCCACAGTCCTACAGCACACACGCTCTTGATGGAATGTGGCCATCATTGCCCAAAAGAGAAGAGACTTTACTTGAGCAGCAGAGGGGAAAACTGCTAGAAATAATGCATTTAATTCTAAGTAGCTGATTCTTCCCTTTAGATGGAGCAGCCATGCGGGCCGGGGTTCAAACTGGTGACCGAATAATTAAGGTAGGAACGCTTAATGTCCTCAGAAGAATAAATTGCTACTGGAAAGAGACAGAAATGCTTCAGTGGTGTTCATCTCTGTATCAGTGTTTTGACAAAACCTGCCTCCCAGAAACATTTGAGTTACTATATATTTTCTTATATTTAGAACTGGCAGTAAGCAAGAGGTGTCTGTTGCCAGATGCTTGTGTTTTTCATGGAAAGCTCTCTGGTTTCATAACCCTCCTTTGTAATCTTTAAGTGCTCTCTCTCTCTCTCTCTCTCTCTCTCTCTCTCTCTGTTTGCTTGCTTGCTTGCTTGCTTGTGTTTGTGTGCACATATATATGTGTGTCTGCCTAGAAAGGCAAGGACAGAACCTCTGCCCAGCTGTGAAACATCTGCAAGTATCTAAGATATTGGCTGTGAAAAAGCACATAGAGAATAAAGTGAAAACCTTTCAGTGTTGCTACACTACGTATCCAATCACTGTGATGATAGTCTTTTAGAGCAGAGGTCTCCAATCTTTCTGGGGCCGTAAACCAGTTGGGTGGAGCGAGCTCCATGCGCAGGGGGTGTGGGCTCCCCACGTGAGCATGGCATGACCACCATGTGTGCATGTTGGGGGCGGTGTGGAGATCTGTATCCACGGCCCAGCTCTGGCAAGCCGTGTTTTAGAGGGTTGGCTAAATCTTGCAGGACACTCTGGCCTAAAATGACAAAGAAAGCAGATTAAATGCTATAGAAGTGGTTATATCAGTTTACCTTCATATTGTAGGAAGCCTTGCATGTTTTTTTTCTAAAACCAGAACAAAAATTGACACAGCTGTTCTCTTCCTTGTAGGTGAATGGGACCCTGGTCACACACTCAAACCATTTAGAGGTGGTGAAGCTGATAAAGTGTGAGTCAACCAAACACATTAGTTTTATTCTTTACAACCTCCTTGAAATGTGTATGAGAGAGATTTTCCTGTTGTGGCCAGGAGGTGTTTAGTAATTGGGATTTAGCCATGATATTGATGTTACCTCCTGGAAGACCTTGGGATGTGGGTCTAGAATACTGTATGAAGTGGATTGTGATACTATTTGGAAAACTACTCATGATCTCAGCGATAATTGAGCCTTTTTTTCCCCACATGGGTAGTCTCTGGTGGTTGTTCTGTTAACCAAAGAAAGAAGACATTAATCTCTCAGTTTTCTCTTGTTTTCATTTTCCTGACCACATCTTGGCTCGATTTTGTATACATACCTTAATACAGTATGCTGTAGGTGGAATGATGTACTCTAATTTGTTCTTTAAATGAGAACAGACCATGACATCCCTCTTCTTGCATTGCTCTTAGAATATTATGGGCTCGATGTCATGTTAGTTAGCGGGATGATTGCTTAACACAGTTGGAATCTTGCTACTTAGACATCATCTGGACTGCCAGATGACAAATGTGTCTATAAGAGGAAGTTCAGGCACTTAAGCCTACCTTCAGAATATTAGTTTTCACTTATTTTTCATGTCACAAAAAGGATGTTACTGCCTGCTCATGTTCCATGACAGATACATAGGACACAATATCCGCACACCTGACAAACATCACATTTCAGTAATCCTTAATAGGTTTTGTAAAAAATTTTGTTTTATTTGGCTTCCATGTGACCCTGCAGGTTCATTTTTGTGCAGAAGTAGTTTTTTTTTAACTGATTGAGCATGGGAGGGGTGAATTTTTTTCTCATCTAGGCACATGACTGAAAAATCAACTGGGTTTTGTGCTTTTACTTCAGCGGGTTCCTATGTAGCACTCACTGTGCAAGGGCGCCCACCTGGGTCGCCCCAGATTCCTCTGGCCGATTCTGAGGTGGATCCAGCAGCCTTTGGGCATATGTCTCCGATCATGACATCTCCTCACTCACCTGGAGCATCTGGAAACACAGAGAGGATTACCAGCCCTGTGCTGATGGGGGTAAGAAGATCCGAAAGGCTGGGAGTGAGCATAAGCTAGTCTATAGGATAGGGAATGGCAGGTTTTCCTGCCTCAGCCGCTTTATTGTTTATAACTCTTGTCATATATTACATTTCAACTCTCTCTCTCTGTTTGTCTGTGTGTCCCATTTCGCTACCCATTTAAATCCCTGTCAAATTGCTACAGAATTCAGGCAGTGTATTCAAAGGATGTGTGTGAAGGGGCAGGGCTGGGATGCTGCTGAAGCATATTGCAGCTGACCTATTCAGTTGCTGGTTTGCATAGTATTTGTTAAATTTGATTTTCTGCAGAAATTAGAAGTGGAGCACAGATATTGACAGAAGGAAGGGTTCACTTCCAATGAATACAGTTAGCTAGTGAATATGTCTTTGTAATTAAAAGATTGCTGGGTGCAGACAATTCAAAAGCTATTTGAACACAATTTGACTGGTTTGGAAGATACCTGTAAAAAGAAAAACCACATGTTCCTCATAAGTAAAAATTGGCTATATCTTGTTAACAGGAGGAAAATAACATTGTCCACAGTCAGAAAGTGGAGATTTTGAGGAAGATGCTTCAGAAAGAGCAGGAACGGCTGCAGGTACAAAACGAAACTTTTCTGGAACCAACGTTTTGTAAACATGCTACTACTTCGGAGAGTTGACCATTGATATATTTATTTCAGTATTTATAAACCACCTTTCAGGGTCGCCTGCCACAACATGAGGCTTAATATGTTATAAATTCACAATGTAAAACAAAGGTAGAGCAATCCAGAGCTTTAGCAGGATGTACCAGAGTGGCAGGCCCACCATTGTGTATTTCAGCTTCTCTTGACCTCTACCAGCCAGGGCAGAAATTGCTGAGGAGAGAGCCCTAAACACTATATGGGAGCGGCTTTGCTCTCTGCTGGGAACTGTGTGTAATGCAAGGCGTTTCAGAGTATGTATAACACCTGGGCCACAAGAAAATGCTTAACTATTGCATAAACATGGCCCATTTTAATAACAATTGTTGCTAAAATGGGACGGAAGGGAGTAGCGACCTATAATAACAGGTACAAGACTCTGTTTAATTGCTGGCACAATTGCCTGAATCCAGTTGGTTGTCCCACTTAGAGTAGACCAGTTGACTCAGTGGGGTTAACTTATGTATAAATTCCCTGTTCAGCAATTGATTTGGTGGATGCACTCTAGCTGGGACTAGCAGTTGAATATAGGCCATTTCATGCATACACAGTCATTTGTTAAAAAAAAATTTTTTTTAATCTCTGGTATGCTTTTCTGTAAACGAAACACTTTTACAAGAATGAACACAGTCCTTGCCCTGGGCCTTCTAGTGGCTTTATGACCTTTTTATTTCCTAAATATATGTCTTATATTCTCTCCATTGCTTTGGCTCCAAGTGTGATGCTGTTTTTTGTGTGTAAAGATTGCTCTGCAAATGTTGTCAAGGGCTGTCATGACTGCTGGTTTTCCCACTCTTTCTATCCTTTCAGTCCTTGCAAGAAGATTACAGCCGTGCTCCTGCTTCCCGGCTGCTCAAGGAGATCCAGGAAGCCAAGAAGCACATCCCTCAGCTGCAGGAGCAGTTGTCCAAAGCAACCGGTTCCATTCAGGTAATGCAAATGTTTGCAGACCTGGTCAGGCTATGGTTGGGAATGTTGTGTGGGAACAAGCTGTTCCCAGCTGTGTCTGTGCCAGTTTGTGCAAGCCTACACAGCTGTCCAAGTGCAGTAAATTAAGGGATGCACAAGTAACAGCTTGGTTTAATTTCTAATGGTGCTCAGAGGAACATGATTGATAGAAGAAACCAGGTTGGAGAGAAATTAAAGCCCTGTAATGAGGATTTACACATCCTCTTTTTATTTGAGGGGACATGAAGAGCTGCACACAGATGTCTTGGCCTTGAAACTTTTTTTCATGTTTTATGTATCCCTTAAAATAAAAGCCTGAGGTGATTTTTTGCAACTAGTTGTAGAAACAGGAATATATGAAATGACTGTAAAAAGCAACTCATTTCTTTTTCAGTTTGTTAAAAAACACCATAGTATGTGGTGCTTACTGCTTCTTACCTAGCTTTATTTGCTTTCAGGATGGTGTTTTTTCTTCCAAATCTGTGACAGAGTCTTTGCAAATCAGTGAGGTAGAAGTTGAGAAGGGAGATGGACTCGCCAGAGGAGATAGCAGCTTTGGGGATAGCTCTCAGGCAAATAGTGACACAGCAGAGGTAAGCATTTTGCTTGAGATTTGCACCGACCCGTCTCCTGTCACTCGAGAGGAGACAGTAAGAGGGATAGGATCACCAGTTTTCCCCTTTATTCTCATCTACTTTGAAGCAGTTTGGAGGGTTTGTGTGTGTGTGTGTGTGTGTGTTTTCTACTGTCACTTGACAGCTGCTTACATGCTATAGTCATTATCCATGTTATCCTGTTGCTGCCCAAGTCCAATGGACTTGTGTTCAATTTAAAACCTTATGAGATTGGTGAGAGAAGGAACTGATCAAGAACCCTCAGCGAATGCTGAACAGAATTTTGTCCCTAGTCCGGCTACTCTTCTCCATCAATAACGGTGGGGTTAGGGGCATCGGGTCCCCGTGTAGTTCAAAATCCATGTATAACTCTTATGCACACAAAAAGTAATTACAGAGCATAAACAGTTGATTAACACACACACACACACACACACACACCTCCCCTGACCTTCTTCAGCCTTCTGGCATGCCCCAGCACCCTCCTGGGCCTCCGCATAGAGCAGCCATGACAAGAGAGGGGGCTGGCCGGGCCACCACCATCAGAGTAGAGGCCACCACACTGCCAACGACATGACCTTAGGTAAGCTCGAGACCCACCTTTCTCAGGCCCTGGAAGAGCCATGACAAGAGAGGGGGCTGGCCGGGCTGCCACCATCAGAGTAGGGACCACCACACTGCCAGCGACATGACCCTAGGTAAGCTCGAAATCCACCTTTCTCAGGCCACTTCCTGGAAGTGAATAACAGCATGGTATTTATTGAATATTGATTGACTGAATTTTTCTTTTTTAAAAAATTGATGGTATTTATTGAATATTGATTGATTGAATTTTTCTTTTTAAAAAAAGTCTAAAACCCAAACTATGCTGTTTAGATCCATGAAATTCAAGGGAAAAGTATAGTGCTTACAGATGTCTCTTATTCTCCACGAGTTCTCCAGTTAGATCCCACTAAGTTTTCTTTATATCCACACCTTCCACTGTTGTGATCACCTTTCAAATGCATCAGTTGATTGCCTGCATAATTTTATGTCTTCTCTAGCAGGCTGCAAGAGCTCAGTAAATAACAGAGCCAGAGGCAGGGAATTTGGTTCACGGCTGTACCTTCTGGGAGGAGAGCCAGGCTGTGTAGCTTTGGGCAAGCTGCACAATCCCAGTGCATCCCCTTAGAGCAGTGGTGTCGAACTGTGGCCCTCCAGATGTTCTTGGACTTCAACTCCCAGAAGCCTTCACCACCACCTCTGCTGGCCAGGATTTCTGGGAGTTGAAGGCCAAGAACATCTGGAGGGCCACAGTTTGACACCACTGCCTTAGAGGAAGGGAATAGTAATCCACTTTTGAATACGCTATATGTAGGAAACCCTGAAAATTCCTGTTCAGCCATAAGTTCAGAAGCCACTTGATGTCATTTGATTAATTACTAGTAGTAGGTTGGGAAAGAAATGTCGTAAGGATTTCTGGGAGTTGAAGGCCAAGAACATCTGGAGGGCCACAGTTTGACACCACTGCCTTAGAGGAAGGGAATAGTAATCCACTTTTGAATACGCTATATGTAGGAAACCCTGAAAATTCCTGTTCAGCCATAAGTTCAGAAGCCACTTGATGTCATTTGATTAATTACTAGTAGTAGGTTGGGAAACAAATGTCGTCTTTTTTCAAATCGGGAATTTTCCTAGGACAGATACAGTGGCTGGGCAAGGAAGAGCAACACAGCCTCTCCTAGAAAACAGATAAAATTAACTGTCTCTTTGTAGTTTGAACGAATCGAAACTAGTAGGGGCAATTTGCCATGAAAGTGGGGGAGTAGAGAAGCCTGATCTCTCCTGCCACAAGGATCTCTGCCTTCTTTCAGATAGTCACAGTTTTCTTTATTAACCTGTTGAGAGAGCTACGGAGAGGGCTTTTCAGATCAAGAGTGTAGCATTCAAGGAACTTGTACCCCTAAAGGAGGGGCCAGCAGCCTCAGCAGAGCAGAGAGCCATTTTTTTCCCTGTTTTGCAGGCATTTTATGGATTACAATCCCTAATATGCATATTGGATGTTTGGATTATTTTAAGAAAATGCTAATGCAGATGTTATATACTCTTAATGTTTGTTATTATGGGGTGTTGCTAACAGAAAAAAAATGATTTCCACTAAACAAATGGGTTTTTAGACTGAAAAATCTCCTTGTGCCCTCTAGCGGTTACTTTTTAAAAATAACACTGGAGAGGTATGGGACCCCAGGAACATGGAGGGTGCTCAGAACATAGCAAAGTAGCATCCTATCACCGCCAGTGCACATAAGGGAGTTGCTACATATTTATTTAAATAGATAAATGAATATGAGACTGCTGGGGACCGAGGCTTGGGATGCCAGATTTTGCCTACCCCTGCCCTAAAGTGTTGTAAATCCATTCAAATGTAACTTGTTTCTAATTGAAGCATGAACGTTGTGACCCAAAATTATACTTCCTGGGCCGGTGGCTTTTGTATCATTTCCTGTATAATTTTCACAGTAGCATTTATCGATTGCACCATTATGAAATCTGATTGTTTTTAAAACAGTTATTCACTTGTGTATGAAAGTGGCTACATAAGTATCAATTAGTATCAGCCTGTGCTTTCAGTTTGAGGTCCCCCACAGACCTTCTTAGAAGCAAGCATTCAGAAGCTGTTTACTGAAACGGGCAATTCATTACAGTAATTATTTCTGAAAGCTAAATAATTTCTAAATTATTTTGTCTTTGTCCTTTTCAAAACAGTGATGCTTCTCAGTGGATTTTGTTTAGCTTTCATATCTGGATGCTTTTTAAAAATGGCTTTGGAGACAATTTGGAATTTACCAGGAATTGAGATTCTTTTTATTTTAGTCTGATATGACTTAGCGCCTACTTATTTGTCTTTCTGGTACCTGTTTAACAGGGAGCAATTCAGCTGAGTTCAGTGGGCCTAAAACAGCATGGAATGTCATCAATATGATTTTTGTGAAAACAAAATGAGAAAAAGAAAGGACAACTAGAAATCATGGAGATGTTCCTTTTTTAAAGAAGACTAGGTTAATCTTTTTTTTTCCTTTTGTCTTCTTGAGTGACAGGAGATAAAAATACACTAACAGAGAAGTATGATATGTATGTTAAGCATTTTCATTTAGCTGTTTTAAGTAAGTTTTGTGTAATATGTAGAATTGTAAACATCAAAATAGATAATTGGTTATTTTCACATGTGTGCTGGTACCCAGGATTCTAAATGTTGGGGAAAAACTTCTTGTATAATCCATAAATTTGTGGTTTTGAAATTCAGATGACAGTCTTTTCATTTGAGTTCCTGCTTTTTAACATAGTTAACATAGTAAGCACTGAGCAGAACATGTCTTAATTTTTCCTATCCTTTTTTTCCTTTTCTTTTCTTTTTTTTTGGTAGAGTCCCCGAAGTGGCTTAAGGGAACGGATCTATCTGGATGAGAGCCCAGAGAAGAGTGAGAGTCAAGATACGGTGAGTGTAGTATAGACACCCTGCTTGCAGCTCTACGGTAGCCTTATTGTCAAGAGGATGGATTTCTGAGCTTCTGGATTTTTTCCCTTAAAACTCAATTTTGAAACAATAGTTAAGGCAGTTTAATGTTTTACTGGATTATATTTGTTTTAGATCCTATTTTTCCTTATGAAGCTGTATAATACTTGAGACCATATACTGTATATTGGTAAATAAACCATGGGAGTGCAGGGCAGCGCACAGTGCCTCTTACTTTTCTACATCTCTTTCAAATATGTAGCATTCATCCCTCCATGCTGGGTAAAAGTCTCTATTGTACAATTTTGAGCATCAGTCATTTGCATGACAAATATTAAAGTGGTTGTATAGCTAATGGCAGTCTTCGTCATCTCCTGTCTGTGGGACTGAAACATATAGTAGACATTTCCAGTGTGGAGGCCACTTGTTTTCTTTTCAATATATTTGCTGCAAATTCTTATTAGAATTTTTATTTCTTCAGATTTTGGTCTGTGTAGCTTGAAATAGCTCTGTTGGATAACAGTCTATTCCTGGTGATTTATTTCTTTGTCATCACTTGGTAACAATTTTAGGTGTTTCATCACTCATCCACTGAGGCTGTTCTTTTCTTTACTTTTGGCTACAAGAATAGTCATTTTGCATTCTTAAGTAATAATATATCTGGTTTAATCCACAGTTCTTCTGGTTCATCCTAACTGATTGCAGAAATTCAAATCTTTACACGTTCTCTACATGCTCTGTAAATTCTTAAGTAATGTTATTTAAACTGGCACTGGTATAATTATAGTAATGTCATTTTGGCACTATGATTATTCTGGTGTTCTTCAACTTTATCCTAACTTCCTATATTAATTATGCATAATCTGTGCCTGCTGGCCAAAATTATACATTGTCTTCTTCTAATGTTAGTTTTTCAGAAAGAATAGAGATCCTCTGTCTTCTGCCTGCTTCTGTTATATTATTTCTTAAATTATTATATTGGCCATCCAGTGATCTCGGTATATACAGTAATCCATTAGGTTGCCTTCAACATGCATTTGCAGTAAACACATTATTGGTGTAACAGAACTCTGAGCCACTGTTCATTCATTGGATTCTTAGACCAAATTCTGCTGACTCTTGGTAGAGATCCTCTGTCTTCTGCCTGCTTCTGTTATATTATTTCTTAAATTATTATATTGGCCATCCAGTGATCTCGGTATATACAGTAATCCATTAGGTTGCCTTCAACATGCATTTGCAGTAAACACATTATTGGTGTAACAGAACTCTGAGCCACTGTTCATTCATTGGATTCTTAGACCAAATTCTGCTGACTCTTGGTATGTGATCATCTGAGCCACTGTTCATTCATTGGATTCTTGAATTCATTGAAATTCTGCTGACTCTTGGCATGTGATCATTTTCATCCTAGGGACATGCACAGAAAAGCATTCAATTTCTACTTCAGCATCTATAGCTGGATCATAGTTTTGAGCGATGATTGGTTTGCTCCTCCCCAGTAGCTGTTCAGGTGTCTTCTGACCAGGGAGGGAGGGAGTCTCACTTTTGAGCCATATCTGTGGTATCATTTGTGGATTGCTTAAGAGTGGTTTACCAAGAGTTAGCTTGAGTGACTCTACCATAGTCTTCCTCTGTGCCACCTTCTCCTACTGCTGCTACCCAGTAGCTGCCCTTCAAGAATTTCTTTTTCCCAACACCAGACTGACCCCATCTTTGCCGTCCTTTGGCCAGCAGGCAAAACTCTTTCGCCTCAGGCAGGCTTTCCTTCAGTGACTGGCTATCTGAGGGGTGGGAGACGGTATGGATTGTTGTGCTCTTTTGCTTTTAAATGTGTATTTAGTATTGGTTTTAATTACCGTTTCAATATAATACTTGTTTTATTCTTTTTAAATATTTGTATACTTACTGTTATTAACTTTTAAGTATCTCTTTTGCTGGAGCGTTCGCTCAGCGATGGCCCCTATGGGCTTTTTTCGCTATGCGATGATCGCGCGGACGCGATCAAAGCATAGCGAACATCTGATCGGCGGTTCCAAAATGGCCGCCGCTAAAACAAAATGGCGACCGCTGTTTTGCCTCGCTAACGAGGCATCCAAAATGGCCACCGCAATGGAGGAAACTCGCAGAACGGTGAGTTTTAAGCCCATAGGAACGTATTAAATCAGTTTTAATACGTTCCTATGGGCTTTTTCATTTCACTTAGCGATGGATTTGCTGAGCGAGGGTTAATCCGGAATGGATTAACCTCGCTAAGCGAGGCACCACTGTATTTAGTATTGGTTTTAATTACGTTTCAATATAATACTTGTTTTATTCTTTTTTAATATTTGTATACTTACTGTTATTAGCTTTTAAGTATCTCTTTTTAATGACATAACTTGGGTCCTCTTCCTCCCACAGGAGGCAAGGCTAGCACTATCTTTGCAAGCAGGTGAAAACGTTTCTCTTCAGGCAAGCTTTCCATTAGTGATAGCTGTCTGAATGGGTTTTTTAATGGATTATTGTACCTTATTGCCTTGAATGTATTTTTGATGCTGTTTCTGTTTACTGTTTTTTGGTGTGGCATCCAAGCCTTTTTAATATTTGTATACTTACTGTTATTAACTTTTAAGTATCTCTTTTTAATGACATAAGCCATCTTGGGTCCTTTCAAGGCAAAAAGTGGGGTAAAAATATTTTAAATAAAAATTGGAACTATAAATTCTCTTTAGCTGACGTAATTGTTAATTCCTGGAAAGGGTGGGAGCATCTTAGTTCGGTGTCTCAGCTTTGACCATTTCACCTTGGGTGACTCAGCTTGGGAGTCTAGACTGGGAACAGAGTCCGATGTTCTGATGACTTTGCTGTTCGCTTCCCTGATACACTCGAACCCTCTCACACGATAAGGTGTGTGTCCAATGGGTAGAAAGCATGCATAAGATTAGATAAACCAAGGAACATAATGAACAAACATACATATCAGTCCTTTCTAAAATTATTGTTGTCATGTTTTATCTGCTTTCAGAAAAATAATAATTCTTTTAATTCTTGTTTTTAATTCACTCCACAATCCCAGGACTCTCAGTCTAGTATTGGAAGCCCTTCCTCTCGTCTTGCACCTCCGATCATAGGAGCAGAAGATGATGATTTTGATGGTGAACAGGAGCAGGTAAAATTGTAAATATACACTACTGACTATAGGTCTGCTCTTGTATGGCTATGACCTTTTGGTGTAAGAAATCCCCTAGGGAAAAAAAATCTTGTTTAGGTTTGTTTCATAATTCATTGATATGGTTGACTTTTAACTGTCAGTAAGTGCCTTTTTATCCACCAAAAATGTCCGGACTGGCAGCCATTTCCTTCATATATGACTTTGTAATCAGGCAGATATTCTTGGCCTCGTTCAGTTTTCTACTTTCTTTAACTTATTGCACTAATACAGTCATATTCCAGCCCAGTTCTTCAAAGGGATTTTCACCATCTAGGGGGTTGTAATGGGATGTGCGTGGAAACAGTGTAATTGCACAGGCTGGATTGAAACAAATAAAAAGCAAAGCATGGATTGGTCTTTTCCAAAATAGAGGATGGAGGTGTTGACTCTGATTTTTTTTTCCCCTGTCTGCACAGATCAATGGGCAGTGCAGCTGTTTCCAGAATATAGAGCTGCTGAAATGTCGGCCAGCCCACTTGGCTGTCTTTCTGCATCATGTTGTGTCCCAGTTTGACCCAGCTTCATTGGTAAGGTGTCAGTTTGCAAACAGTTCTGTGTTCTGAGTCTAGGGGATTCTGAAACTGTTACAGCACGGGTCCATGTGGGGATGGTTTGGCAGTAGCCTTTTGATCTGCAATGAAGAAAAGCACGAGTTTGTTTTTAAATTTATCGTATTTGTGCAGAACTTCAGCAACAGACATAAATTAGCAAATCGGAAAGCAATGTAGATAGATGAACACCTTACCTCATCCTGTGGTCTTCCTCTTAACTGTATTTCTACAAAGAAACATTTCTTGAAAATTTTGAAGAATGATTCGTAGGTAGAATTAACTCCCTTTTTCTTACGTTTTTTCTTTCTTTCTGTGTAGCTTTGCTATCTTTTTGCGGATCTGTACAAACAAACAAACTCCAAAGAGACACGGCGTGTCTTCACTGAATTTAATCAGTTCTTTTTGGATAGAGCTGCAGTAAGTTCTGAAGTGCACATGTGATTTATCTTCCTGTATACATACGTTTAATTGCAACTTATTTTGCTCTAGTTGGTTTGATGTTTCAGAGGAAATGTCTTCACCACTAAAGTACAGCACAATAAAGGTTCTGTAACCCAGTGATTGCATTTTGAGCATGGCCCTAATTCCTTAATTTTTTAGTTTAGTTTTTAGGTGTGGTTGTAGACATAGTGGACCTGATCCAACCAAGTGAAAACAGCAAAAGGTTATATGTGTGGTGGATGAGCATGTATGTACATGCATACCTCCGCCATATCCATGCCTAAGTCTTGACATAATATGTAGTCTGAACATAAAACTAACAAGATACAGGAAGTGATGAATTTGGGGTTAAGGGAAACAATCCAGAAATTGAGCCAGATGTGTCCAGATTGCTCTGTAGCGCTACTTCAGGGGTCCAAGAGAGGCTTTGGTCTGCAGAGAGAGGAGAGGCCATAAGCTGTCTCATAGGGACACCATTTGCCTTGCCTACCAAGTTCTGTAGAATGCAGAATCCAACATGTCTTCATAGCTTTCTAGAGAAATGGAGGTGGGGGGAGGGTCTACATTGAAGTTAAAGCCAGAAAACACTGTTGTTTCTCTGCTTTTGTCCTTTATTTCCACAGAATCTGAAGGTTGCTGTTCCAGATGAAATTTCTGTAGATCTAGGTAAGTTTACATCTTACGTAGACAAACATGTGTTGTTGTTTTTATTCCACACTATTGTATTGGTGGTGGTGGAGGGTCTTGGCATTCTTGTCCCTTAAAGGAGTTTTATATCCAGACAAGACTCTTCCATATCACAATTTATTTTAGGAGGCAGGCATCACATATATTGCCATTTGTTGTTGTTAAGTCGTGTCTGAGTCTTCGTGACCCCATGGACCAGAGCACGCCAGGCCCTCCTGTCTTCCACTGCGTCCCAGATATTGGCATTAGAGGACTGCTAAATCTTTCATTCCTTAGGAAGGGAACATCTTGGCTGCAAAAACTGAATATTTTATTTTAAATAAAACAAAACAATTTTATTCTTTTATTTGCAGAAAAAAGAAGATTAGACTTAATTCCTGAAGAATTGCACCGCCATTACATTCAAACTATGCAAGATAAAGTATTTTCTGAAGTCCAGAGGCACCTTGAAGATTTTAGGTATGACTTGCTCTTTGGTTGAGCATTTCAGCTGGCTTCAAAGTATGACTTTATGACCTTCTATGACAGCTCCAATATAAAACTGCTCCTATATATGCCATAGCAGAGAAACATTCCACCATCAGTTAGATAGTGCAGATTTCCCCTTTAATAGTGATAGAAGCAGCAATAGGAAGTGATGTGACCTCACACTTTTCTATTCAGCTGTTTTCAGCTACCCTGTTAAGCAGCTGTCCACACAGAGACAGTCATTTTGGTAAGAGAAATCCTTGTCTGTAGTTACAACTAAAACTATACAAGGTAAATTTCTTCGATTTTTTTTCTTTCTCATATTCAGAATTCAGATTTTGTACACATTTTTACACCAAAAAGTTGTTGTGGGTGCCCCTTTAGTCTTAAAAATCCAGTTATTCACTTTTGGGTTGTTAAAAATCATATAATTACTGTGGCTTTTGGACAGTCCCTTCACCAACTCAGGGACAATGGCAGATTTTGGCATAGATGTCAATAATAGTAACCAGCGTTCCTTTTCCTCTGATATTTTGCTACTTCTTCCCATCAAAGATGGTTTATAGTGTAGTGGTTTCTGTTTGCTGAATCTGCCAAGGCTGAAAAGGGTACGTGATGCTGACAGTATGTGCGAAGTTACGCATTTCAATTCCATGCCACTTTACCTTCAGCAGCATGAAGAGGAGTATATTGGAAACTGCTTGGCCAAAGCGTTGTGAGCTTTGAGGGTACCATGGCTGGACAGGCTGTCCTGTTGGTACAGATTGGTACCCCTTCGGTGTTGGATCCGTGCTGTTTCAGTTCGTCTCTGTCTTCTTTCCTCTTTCATATTTAGACAGAAACGCAGCATGGGGCTGACCCTGGCAGAAGGAGAGCTGACCCGGCTGGATGCAGAACGTGTTCGTGATCGGGCCACCCTGGAGAAGGAGAGAGCGTGCGCAGAGCAGATCATTACCAAAATTGAAGAAGTGTTGTAAGTGCACAGTCTTTCTTGGGCTCCCATAAGCAGAGAAAGTAACTTGAGGGTGAAGCAAATCACCAGTGCATTCTACTGGGATGGGGTTCCGTTGGCGAATGCCTCTCTGGGCCGCATGTTGTCCATTGCTCAGTTGAGTTATAGCCATTGTCGGGCCTCCTTGGATTGAAAGAGAGTGGGTGGTCCGGCAGTATTTAACCTCTTTTGACTTCAGATTGCTACAGGCAACAGCCATGAGAGGTTTGTGTTCAAGGAGGAAGGGCAGGAGAGGAAATAGAGCGGATTGTGATGAGGGATGGACCTGTGAGACACCAGCAGTGACAGGAGCTAATGATAGTGCTTTTAAGCTCAAATGCATACTTTTGTCAAGTGCTCACTATTTTGACATCATGACTTGCTTGTGAATTTATTTCTCATACCTTCCTTAATAATGTTAGGGGTGGAATTGAGGGGCTAGATGCCTGGGTGTATCCATGGCAGGACCGAGGGCGTGCTTGCTCCCTGCAATCATAACTTACCGTATTTTTCGCTCCATCTAGATGCCTGGGTGTATCCATGGCAGGACTGAGGGAGTGGTTGCTCCCTGCAATCATAACTTAATTTATTATTTTAATGTACCAAGACAGACGCAACGGGTTGTAGTGGTACACACTGTGTGTGCGCGCAAATTATGCTGCTATACCACTCTGCGCACAAACACATAAATGGGTGCCCTGTAGACTTGGTACTTCTTACCACCAGTTCAATCTTTTTTTTTTTTTTTAAAAAAGAACATTCCTGAAAACTTTTAAAAATGTCAGATTATAATGAATTGAATGGGTGGTCCCCTGTTTTTCTAAATCAACCAGGGAGAATAGGAGAATATGTTGACATAAAGTATTCTGATTCACTTGTTCTGCTGTTTTCCTTTGCAGGATGACCTCTCAACCCATAGAAGAGGAGAAGAGGTAAATATGTGGGCTGTTTGTAGCACCTGTTGTCTCACAATCCTGCTAAATCCACCAGTAGTGTGTTTCTGTTTGCGGATGGGTGTCTTGCAAGAGTGCCCTCTGCTGGTTTTTCAAAACAAAACAAAATCACCATCTTGATATGCCCAACTCTTTCTCTATAGTCGTTCAGTGATACCTACTCAAGACCATCTTGATATGCCCAACTCTTTCTCTATACAGTAGTAGTCCAGTGATACCTACTCAAGACTTACAGTGCACCTCTCTATGGAATATAAGATGGAAGGCTTTCCTCATCTTGTTGCGTTACATTCTTTTATTTAATGAGAAGATACAGTTTGAATTTGAGAGTTTCTGCATGAAAATCCTAGGCTTTATTACTGATGCCTCCAGCTTGGAATAATATTTTGTGTGTTGTTTTTTTTTAAAGTTACTACTGTTCAGTAAAGATGCCTTTGAAATAGGCTTGATTTGTCTAGCATTGGAATCCCTTTCTACATGACTGCATAACCTTTGTTTCAGTTCTCTATTGAATGAACTGATAGTGATGCTAACTGATTTGTGTAGAGAGGGCAGTCGAAATTCTGGAAATGAAGAGAGGTATAATCTTTGTTGAGATAGGTCCTGTCAATCTTCTGTGGCTAAT